CCCCGGCGTCTAGATTCTGTAATGAAGCAATTTAAATGCATGAGGCAGGGCGAGAGACGCGATGGTGGGGGGAGAACCAATCATAAATCAACAACGTAACTGCGGGACGGTTGCGTATGAATTCAAACCGTAGACTTCAGAGACAGAGTTGTATTTTCTTCGCTGATAGGTTGTAGATAGGATACTTAGTGTTGTGACTTAAGCTGTAGGTATGGATGATAGTGCCTGCGCGGGGTAAGTACGGGTATATCTCGGCAGGTAGAGGATTATACGAGGGTACGGAACTACACAGGCGAAAATGTTTTCCTAACTTATTCCGAATAGAAAGGAAAAGTCGCGAGGAAAGTGATATCAGTTCTACTTCGTATGTTACTTTGGGCTTATATGTATGTCTGATTGGATGCTCGTGGTCCAGATTGGGAGCCCTTTATTACGGATAGTAATTTGGGTAGAAATTAAAGGTTTGGGAATTAGAATGGTAGTGGGTTTTCTTATTCATGGATATTGGTAGGTATTACGTGAGTAGGATTGTTCGACTGATTGCTTTTTTTAGATAGGATAGAAATTTTGAGGTTGGTAAACGAAATTTCATGAGTTTTAGCAGATTTGTGACGACATAATGTAGTGTATTTTGTTATAGAAACATTACTTTGCTATTTATTATATAGTATATTGCCATATGACTATGCTATTTATTATCTTGCAGCCATGGTACTCACCATTAGGTTTGTTGAACCATGTAATACTTACTATTCTCATCGAACTTTTGAGAGTTGTAAAATGCAAATAAATGTAATAAATGCAGCGTGACTATGATATCTTTCACCTCAAGTTCTATCAATCCTTCATTCTCAAACTCCAAGCTCCAAAATTAACCATTTCCAAAACACGAATCGATTTCTCACAGTATTTCGACTTCCGAACGTTCGAATGATTACTCAATCAATACCAAATGAACTCCTAATTTTTCTTCGTCGGTAGGCACAGACTATATAAGATCAAAAGTCAATCACCGGCACCGCAGACCAGTAGAACAGTAGCTACGATAGGTAAGTCAGAAACAGTGAGACTTCCATCCATTAATATTGAGCAGCGCGCCAATTTATATCCATTCGAAGCGAAGTGACGTCACAAGAACTCGATCGAACCGCCTCCAACCGGTTTAGGGCTGCTAGGCTTAGGAAATAATTGTATGGGGAATAACTTCTTTATGGCGGTATCAAATGATCTTTACGGAGAAAGTTTTTATGCTTAGGTTTCGGGTTTTTGATATTCGCTAGATTGGAAAGGATTTTATGTAGAATTTTGGTAGGTAGATTATTAAGAGATATTTTTTTTAGATACTAGTACTTTGGTAACATGCAACCTTTATTTTATTTTATTTGCACCATCAAAGGTGTTACTTCTTTCTTCGATCGACGTTGCTAAGGTAGGTAAACAACAATTTATTGAAAACTAAACAATTTCTAAAACTGACATTAATTCAAAGTTCGTGTTCGTAAAATTAGTTCGCGGTAGCCCTAAGGACTTATAGTGTTGGGCGCTCGCGGCGTGGTAGTGCAAATGACAGCCAGTGTTCACGGCGACTCACCTGACTGGGGTCTGCCCTGCTTTTGAACTGCTAATCGATTCTGCGCTCCCAATTGTTCTCACTATATCTCACTCGTACACTGTGCTGTTCACATGTGCACGTCACTAGTATTGTGACGTCATCCTGTTCAGGGATGACAATGAGAGGGTTGTCAAATGGTATCTAGTACTTGCTAGTCTAATGGCCTAAGGAATCGCCGAGTGGTTAAAGATTTGCCTTTGATATATTTTAATTTGGGATTGTGATTCAAAAAGTTGTATATCGTGTGATAGACGAGGCAATCGAACTCTGTGACAAATCATCCAGATCCGATAAGTAGTTCTGGAGTGAAAGAGTAACATAGATCCCTACATTCTAATATAATTTCACTCATAACCCAATTGGCAATAATTTTAGTAATTAAGACCGGCAAAGTGACAATATTTAAAGATAAATAACCTTAGCTATTGATATTGATTAACAATAATTGCAGTCAGCACTACTAAAAACTCAAAAAATGATGATTGCGAAAATGGCTACAATTTACAAAAATACTATTAAACTAAGTACCTAGGTACCTATACAAAAAATCCTATAGAAAATGTAGTACCAAGGTAGCATAGGTACCCAACTATGTACCGGTTTCCAAGAGAAGGTGGCTGGCGACCTCTGGTGCCATAAATCATGAACGCCCATCGCCTCTGAGTTCCGCCTTCTGCTTGCTGTGGCTGCTACGAAGCACTGTAGATTATCTGATACGCCATATTGCTTGCTAGGCTGCAAATGCGTAATTTTGAGGTTATGGCAGTAGAAGAGATAAAAAGGGTTAAAGGTGGTTTGTGATGGAGTGTAATCTGGAAAGATTTAGGTAGGGCTGTGATGAGAAAAGTACTTTTATTGTATGTTTAGAGTGTTTAAATTAGCACAACTGCCTATCCAGAGGTCTCAAGCTCGATCTTTCGATAACACACGAAGCGTTACCAATATATTATGTATCACCCCTAAACAATGTTTCTAAATGAATGACAATAAAGCATTGTTACCCTTAATGACGTAGTTCTGTAATTTTTACAAAAAAAAAAATCGATTATCAAGAAATTACACAAAACACAATTTTCACAAACCAACAATTAAGTACTACCAACCAACAAAAAAAAAAACAGCTACCAACATTATAAATCTAAAAAGAACCGTTTAAAAGAAAAAAAAAGAACTGTAATCAAAACATTTTTTCAAATTCGAACACTTTGTTTTTTTTCTATCAACAGTAATGGGCGGCGCATTCATTATTGTGTTGCGTTCTGTCACTGTACAAACGACTGGTCGAAATGGTATTCCGCCCACCAATTCCAGCTATGCCGAGATACGCATCGGTGGCCGGTCAGCAACGCCTTCTGGAGAACAAATGAGCTTATAGCACACGCAACCTGCCCAAGAATTTCATGGTTTTATGTAATTACTTACATAATATTAATTTGTGTTTTTTATTAGAATTTGTGGAGATTAGCTAAATGTTTGGACTGCTAACTAAAATTGTTTAGTGTAAAATCATGTCCTTTTTGTCAAAAGAGGTGTAGGTCATATCGCATGACTGTAGCATTACCAATTTGGCAGTTATGTTTTACGACAAAGGGGAAGCCAAGCCAACCAGACCCAACAATTTCAGATTTCAACCGATTTAGGCAAATCGGGTATATGAACTAAATAGGTTAGATGCCTAATTTTTATTTTAATATCCGTCTGGTAGATTATTTTAAATCATTAGACACGTATTTTTATTTTCTTATAGAAACGAATACTTTCGACGATATATTGATTTGAAATGTCACGTAACGTCACTTCTATGTACTTACCTACATTTTATAGGTAGAAATGACGTTTTAACCCCAACTCCTAAACTTTGATTCGTTTTATCTAAGTATTGTTTTATTAAGTATAGGACAAAATAAAAAAAATACGTGTCTAATATTTTTTCATTACTTACCAAACTTACGGACTAATTAGATTTTTTTTTCATACCCTGTCATCATCCCAATTCTCCAGTTGAGTCGTTAATACCTTCTTTACTAAATTATTGAAATTATACTGCCATCCACCAAATGTCATTCTGTATATTCTAATTAACATTGATTTGTAATTTACAATGTGGGTTAAGTTATTGAATAACAGGCGGAATATGGACATAACAAAGTAATAACAATTGTTTGACCTTAACGGTGTGAGAATTAGGTGTCACCGCCAGGAGTTTTATAAATAAGAGCGTAAGATGAGACTCTCTTACATCTCTGTCAGTCATGATATCTACATATTATGTTTTTGTTATGTTGAATGTAGTTTTAATAACCATATCTTCACACACGTTCTAGACTTTTTTAAGTGTCATATAGTAAAAATCACAATAAAAGAACAATTGAAATCGGTTCAGCCGCACGCGATTAGTTTTGTTACCTTCGAAATAAAATTAATTCTAATTTATTATACCACAAAATAAAATTGATAATGATAAAATGTTATCAAATAGCTTATTATTTATGCTGCACAAACTTTAACATAACTACAAAAAAACCTATATTGTAGAAAAATATGAAACAAAGTCGATCTTAAGCTAGTTCATAATCATAATACAGCAACGGAGATAGAAATGTAAATAATAAAAAAATATATTATTTTATGTTAGTTTCTAATAATAAACAATATATCGAAAAATAGTATATTGAATTACTATTTTTAAGTAAAAATTGTAATTAACTTTAAGAAAAAAAAGAAACTAACGAGACAAATGCAATTAATTTGATGCTACAAATGTGTTGTGATAATAAATAATAATATAATAATTATTACTTGAATAATGTACACAAGACTTATAGAGAAATCGCAATTACATTGTATATTTCTTAATTGTAATTATTGTAATTATAGTTTATAAAATTATAGATATTTCCTGATTATCAAAGATGGCGTGTGAGATGTTAATATATCCTCGTAATCGAGAAAATATTATCACGCACCTTTAGGATGTTTGTGTCTCTAAATGTTATTGGATTTTAAGAACATATTTTACCTCTTTGTAATGATCTGGTGGTAGACTAAGATGTGATCAAGTTATAGGTACTCCGAGACTACATTATTAACATACCGGTTCTGGGCGTCTTTGGGCATAGGCCTTTTCAATAGGACACCGTATCCAACCACTGCCAGCCAACTTGCGGAATCAATGTACTCAAATCAAATTCCTGTAACTCTTTTCTTTTCCCACAGAAGGGGAACTTCAACAGGAACTACTACTATCCGCTGTTAGCACTAGATAAAGGAAAAAATGGTCGACATAAACATCGAAGCAACGTTTTCATTACAAAACATTGTAAAGTTGATCTTATAGACGAATGTTGTTTTTTTAGCGCCTGGGAAAGGAACTGATCCACAGCAAACACTGGCAACAAAACCTCTCATTGTTAAGCCATATAATGGGAACGATTTGACAACAGACACTAGTGACACGATGGATCTTCTAAAGTACGTACGCGTTTCAATTCTAATTCTGCCAATGGTCTTAGGCCAAGTGCGAAAACCTCAAAGTTTCATGGTTGGTGAACAATACTGCCAGCGACTGACGAAGGATCCGTATTTTGAACCTGAAATGGTGATCGGTAAACCATGGAGGATTTATTACACGTGGAACATCAAGATGGAAGACAAGTGCCTGGACATGATATTCAAGAATGCGACGGCATCGGTAATTAATGGTGGATTAACTTTGCTATATTTCTTAGATTTTATATTATGCTCATATTATATTTCTATTCTCCAGATCATCAACAGAGTTTGGAATGATATGAATGAGTACGTGGAGACTCAGCCTTACTGGGACGCTGCAACATTGCTGGTGACGATGGGTCGAGCAAAACATGAAATGCTCTTGTTTGCAGACCAAGGTGCGGCTGGAAGGTTTACAGGAGTACCAAACGTCGTTAGAGATGGGAGTAAGTTCATTCCAAAATTATTTCCTACTTGTCTGTGCGTAAAAATTTTTTGAGCATTCTCTTTTATCCTCCTTTATACACTTCTCTATAGTCTTGGTACTCGACAAAGGGGCAGTAACATAACATCACGCCTTTTATAACCCAAGGGGTAGGCAGAGGTGCACATTACAGCACTTAATGCCATTGTGCAATGTAACACCCACTTTTCACTATTTATGTTATGAGTCTTATATAATAGAGGGTGAGCCTATTGCCATATATCAGGCACAATTCAAGACTCCGTGCTACTACTGAGATTTTTTTAAGAATCCAGTAATACTTTGCCCGATCCGGAAATCGAATGCGAAAACCCTTGCCCAGCAGTCGCACTTGCGATTGCTCGGCCAACGAGGCTGTCACACCACCTTGACTCAAGGTGGATTGGTGATTATAGAATTGTTTTATGAAGCCCAGGATTTCTTACTTTATATTATATCGCTCCGTAAAGTTCATACAGGCTTGGTTAATATGAAATCTTAAGTATGAGAATCAGGCACTTTAACCGTCGAACCACCATGATAACTGAATTTAACTG